TTTAGTGATGATATAAAATGATGCAATTACATAGCAGGAAGTGCTATGGAATGTTTTCCCGTATCGATTGTCCTTATTTTTATTTTAGTGGTGAGCACAAATAATAACAGATTGTAAGAAAACAAGCCTGATTTATACTGCCACTTAATCCCAGGGGGAATGTGACCCAGAGCAGGGAGGGGCTGAGCTCAGGAATGTGCTGCCTTGACACATAGATTCCAGGACTCCCCCGGGCTCACCTGTATCTGAGCTGTGGACAAAGTATGTTTGGGTGTCACTGAGGCTGATATTTGACTGCTCTAGTCAGAAGGATGACAGCTGTGCCCAGGCTCTTCCCAAGGGCATCCAGTGTACACAAACTTGGGAATCCAGGGGACTGGTGAGGAGGAGTTCTGCTAATGCAGTAGTAGTTAAGCACTTGGCTGCTAACCAAAATGTTGGCAGTTCAAACCCACCAGACACTCCACAGGAGAAAGATGAGGCATTCTGCTTCCATACAGCCTTGAAAACCCTGTAGGGCAGTTCCACTCGGTCCTATAGGGTAGTTATGAGTCAGAAGCAACTCGATGACAGTGGGTCTGGGTTTAGTGGTGGGCTGCGGGGCCTTGGATGGGCTCCTTTCCACACTGAATATGTGCATGACCAACACCTTCCAGAATGCAAAGGGGGTGGATCAGAGGCCATGATACAGACCATAAGGTATATAAAAAATAAGCCATGCCGCTATATGTGGCATGTGGTGGTGTACTGGTTAAGACATTTGGTTGCTAACCAGAAGGTCAGTGGTTCAAACACACCAGATGCTCCATAAGAGGAAGATGAGGCAACCTGCTTCTGTAAAGATTTACAGCCTTGAAAACCCGATTGGGATCACTATGAGTTGGAATGGACCTGATGGCAATGAGTTTGGTTTTACTGAGTTTTATAGGGGGCATGAGTTCTAATGAGCAATAGAAGCTTTATAAAGACATACTTTGCTTTGCGAATTAATTATAACATGTCTCTTTCATAAGAGAATTACCTAGTTATTTAATTATTATTATTATTATTTTTTGCCATTAAACAAATTTTAATTGAGCACCTTACATAGACCAAAGACTGGGCTAAATGATAAGTAAATATTCAGTGCCTCCTAAGAAATTTTCAAAATAATTTTGGACAGTATGTATCTTTTATGAGGCATTGAGTAGGACAGTTTTTAAAAATTCTTGATTGAAGGGTGCCATGAAAGTGTTAAATGTAATTATTATTATGTAGCTCCTGGCTTCATAGCACATGTGACCCAAATGCTATATACTGTCCAAAAGTTCTTGACCATGTACATGATTCTTCAACTAGCATAAAAAACTGTCTCTGGAAGAGCTTTGACAGTCTCTTCTGTATTCCTTCCAAGTACCCTCACTCTAGAGAAACTTTATTCAAGCTGGCAACTGTCTCCCAACAGTGTGGCAGGTAAGGAGAGGCCACCCCCATCCGAATTTCTCTTATTTTCCCTTCTATTTAGAAGCTAAGAGCCATACTTGTTGAAACAGACCTGACCAAACAACCCATTGCTGTCTAGTCGATTCCAACTCGCGGTGACCCCGTATGTTACAGAGTAGAACTGTTCCCTAGGGTTTTCTTGGCTATAATCTTTATGGAAGCAAACCCAGGCCTTTTCTTCTGCAGAGTCATTGGATGGGTTTGAACCACCATCTTTTAGGCTAGCAGCTCATCATAAACTGCTCATGCCATACAGGCTCCTTGAAATGGACCCAGTGCCCATTAAAGTCAACCATAAAATCTAATGAGTGGTTCTCAACTCAAACTACTACCCCATCTCAACTACTAACGGATGCAACTCCCTCAGATCAGTAGCATTGGCTCCTGGTGACAGTGAGTTGGGGAAGGGGTGGCAAAAGGAAACAATCAATCTCGTTGATGGGTAGGGATTCTGTCTTGAACCCTCCCACCGGTGGGCACACACACAATTATCATAAACTCTCCAATTTCAATAGTAATTCACAACCTTTCTGGCAATGTGTACTTCACTATCAACCTGGAAAGGAGCCCTGTTTGCAGTGGTAAGCGCTCTGATGCTAACCAAAGTGTTGGCCATTTGGAGAAAGATGTGACAGTCTGCTTCGATAAAGATTTACAGCCTTGGAAACCCTGTGGGGCAGTGGCACTCTTGTCCTATAGGGTCGCTAAGAGTTAGAATCAACTGGACAGTTGAAACGGGTTTGCTTTTGGTTTTGATCAACTTGGAAGAATTTATGTCTTGCCAGTGGAGTTTCTGTAACTTGGTTTCTGTCAATTATTGCTTTCTGTACCACAAAATGATTTCTATGTTCTTAGGGACACTTGTTCCCTTCCAGTTCCTTGTTATGTTGGCTTCTTTTGTTCTGAAAGCCTTAGAGGTGCAGACCTGGAGTGGCTAAGACAGAGGTGGCATTCCTAGCTCATGAAAGGGACTTGGGAAGCAGAACTTGTCTTCATGCCCATAAAAAGTAAAATCCACCTGAGTAGAACTAGAGAAAGAAACCCTGTTTGCACAGTGGTTAAACGCTGGGCTACTAACCCCAAAACCCAAACCCAAAGGTCAGTTGTTTCAACACACCGGCTGCTCTGTGGGAGAAAGATGTGGCAGTCTGCTTTTGTAAAAATTTACAGCCTTGGAAACCCTATGAGGCAGTTGCACTTTTGTCCGATACGGTCACTATGAGTCGGAATGGATTTCATCCGCACCTGACAACAGGGTTGGAGAGGCCCAGGGCAGACCTAGTTTTGAGGTGAGCTGGTGTTGCTTCAGTATCTCCCCATGTGTGCGGGGGTGGAGCTGGGCCCCGCCTTCTCTGTCCCATTGGTACAGCCCTTCGCCTTCGTCTGTACTGAACTATGAATAGAAGGCAGCGCTACACATACTGGCGCTCAGAGCCCGAAGGGAGGATGGCAGTGTCTTGGCAGGTGGGCTTGTAGCAGGGAGCTGGGTGGGGGAGTGGGCAGAGGCATCATCGAGTGGCGTTGGCGGTAGCCAATGGAAGTTCGGGGCAGGGGTGGCAGGGGCGGGGGTTCTGAGGCCCATCGGCCAATGTAGGGCGAGCAACTGCTGGAGCGACCTGATGACGTAAGGAGCGTTCCATTTGGCCAGCGGTGGGCGGTTGCCACAGCTGGTTTAGGGCTCAGGCCGTTGGGGCCCCTCGTCAGGAGTAGGCCGCTTCTCAGCTGGGGAGAAGAAGCCGCTGACACTTTTGACGGCCGCCGCGATCCCCTAGGACAGGCGACTTCCTGCCCTACTGTCTCCGGTCG